AAAAATAGACCTAGAAAAAAAGAAACAAGAGAAATTAAAGGCTATAGAAGAGAAAGCAAAAAGAAAGGAAGAGAAAATAAAATTACGAGAAGAACAAAAAAGACAGAGGGAGGAAGAAAACCAAAGGCGAAAAGAAGACAGAAAGAGGAAACTGGAAGAGAAAAGACAGCTGAAAGACAATTCAAAAGGGAAAGGGCCGAAGAAGAGAAAGACAAACAAAATGGATGATTCTGAAACAGATACAAGCATTGATGAGTCTCAAATGATTTTCGATGACGAGTCGGAAGATGATTTTGAGGATTTAGATCTAGATTTAGACTAGACTAGTCTAGACTAGAGTCTATTTCAGAATGCAATTTTTTTTATTAGTTAGAATTAAATAAAAATCAACCATGAATGTCATGAAAAAATGCATGAGTTATTTGTTTTAATGTTGTAGTCTAGTCTATATGTGTCACATTTATGTATGTTTTTATGTGTGTATCTGTGTGAGTGTATTGGGAGATCCTTAGCTTTAAATCACAACTGGTTTCAGTGAGGGCACCTTTGTGGTTGCACTGTGGTCAGGTGGTTGCACTTAGGGCAAATCATTGGTTGCAGGGCGGGCAGGTGGTTGCTTAAGGGGCTACTCAGACGTAAGCATTTTTTCCTATTATTATGCTAGTTATCTGCTAGAACATCTCCTAAACACTGCCAAGTCAGTGATTTCACTTGGTGCCCTCTAAGCAACCAATAATTTTTTTTTTTCTCCGATCATTAAAAAGTTGTGAGGAAGAGTTGACTCGTGGTTGCATTGGGGCAAGTTACTCTAATTATAATGTGAAGTCGTAACTTTACATGTAGTAAGTTTTTTTTTACTATCAAAATTAAATTTTAGGAGCTTCTATAATTTTATTACACAGTTTTAAGTATTGAGTTTCAACAAATTCGATGTAATTTATTAGCATTATTGACCTAAAAACTACTAGCATTTGTCATGATTTGTTCAAACTCAAACAATTGACAATTGAATTCACTACTCTTCTTCTTCAGAAATCTTAACTAGGGCATTACTGGTTAGTAGTTAAGAACAAAAGAATTGCACTTTAAAAATTCATAGCTAAAAAAAGTACTAAAGCTAGAAAGTTTATTCTGGTTTCATTTTGGTAATCTTACAGTTCACTTGCATACATATTTCTGATCATTTCGGTAAATTTCGAGAGATCGCCCTGGAGTTTCCGCCGTCTTGGTTGACACAACCAGTTAATTTTGTCACTAAACCTAAACTAAATGTATCCCTAAATCGATCCCTGTCCCTGTGCCTAACCTGAACCCTAACTAACCTTAACCCTAAATCGATCCCTATGCCTAACCTAACCTGAACCCTAAATCAATCCCTCAACCTAACCTAAACCCTAATTCACTGCAACTATACTATAATAAACACGCAAATGACATCACGGGATGATCTTTCGATACTAGCCTGAATTTCTTCTTATAACGTTTAATCTTACGTGTATTCTAGGGTGACCAAACGTCCCGTAAAAACAGGATTGTCTCATTTTTTCACAATCGTACCTGTTGTCCCGAAAAAGTCTCTCGGGACGCCTAAATATCCCGTTTTTTTAAACAAAACATTTTCTGATCACTAAAACTACCTAATTTATAATATAACTTTATTATTTTGGCTAGCTGTGTTGCCAGTGCCAGTAGTGATGTGGGCTTGCGTGATGGGTGCACTGTTTCTCCTCCACCAGTGTCCCTGCCATAGATCTTATATGTAAATGTATAGCGAAAGACACAAGACTTCAAGCCTCAAAGGAGGGGGGGGGGCGATGGAGCTGTGCAGAATACAGTTTTGATTCCAATACCATTACGTGTATTGTGTTACTCTTATGTGTGATCCCTGCCGACCTGTTCGTGTCATAGTGACAAGTGTTTGTTTTAGGTGTTGAACTTTATTCTTTAATTTTATATTATCTTCTCATTAGAACAATAATTATGCCCAATCATCAATGTAAGCTTATGGTGGAGCATTCCAAAGAGTGGAACTATATTAAAAAAGGGAGACTGTGAAAGTGAAGTCGAGTACACAGTTTGCAATAATGTGGTCATGGTGGACATTCAGACATAAAACAACACATCACATCAGTGAAATGTAGGAAAAGACTGATTGCCCCAAGTAGATTTTTAGGTTAGATTTCATAGTTAAAATGAGCATATTTCAACTAACAGTTTTCGGCGGAGGCCCCCGGACCCCTCTTTGGCTGGAGGGTACTCCCCCCCCCCCCCCCCCCAAAAAAAAACAAACCAACCATCCTTAAAAGCGTCCCGCGTTTTCCAAATCATGACTTGGTCACCCTAGTGTATCCTGACTATTCTTTATAAATTTAGTACAGACAGTATTAGTTAGAACTTGCACTAAATTGTACAGCAATAACTTTTCTTTTTATTGATTTTTACATCCCCCATTGGTATATAGCCGACGTTAATTGACGTTTTTGTAGCAAAACTTGATATACACTGGAAATCCAGCAAATTATATGAATATATATCCATCATATGCCTAGTATAGTATAACCTATAGTATAGGCCTAGTACCATCCCAAGTTATTATTGCAGGACCTAATACTAAACTTAACTATTATAGGTAATGATATTTTAGGCCATGTTATCATATTTTATTATTTATCTTAAATTTTAAAATAAAAGTGTTTTAAAAAAATATTCAATTACCTTTGATATTGAAATATCCCGTATTCACTCACAAATCACAATATTGCACAAGAAAATTATGTAATCCTCAGTATTATTCAAGAAACAACACACTTTCTGATACACTAATCCAATAATTTCTTAAGATATTACTAAAGAACAACCGCTATAAAAGCTTGTACTTATCTCAAGGAATTTACCAGAACTTATTTTAATTTCTATCAACATCCAAAGTTGATTTGTGAAACAAGATTACTATTTTTTTGGTCATATTCAAATGGGACTAAAATACATACATAGAAAATGGTAAAATAAAAAGTATAATCGTCAATTTTATGCAAATGAATCAAATAATCCCTGTATATTTATTTATATTGATAAATGTTAAACAATTCCACAGAAAATGTAAAATTAATATCTTAAGAATATTATTATTAAATTAGGGAAATTTTAAAAATTTATATTTAAAAAATAGTAATTAATTAATACAAATAAGTGACGAGTCAGCATATTTTATTAATTT